TATTTGCTGTTTTGTTCTCTGTGTGACAAGCCAAGCTTAGTCTGGATGTGACCTGTCAGAAACTGGAAACAATTTGGATCCAGTGAGTCACACTGGATCTGCAGAACTGGAAAAGCAAAACTTTTGTTTTTGCCCAAGACCTACCACATCTGGCCAACACCCTGAATCTTATTATTAATGGAGTAAAATTTTAAGATATCTTTGGTATCATGAAGTTAAGATGCTGAGATTTCTCTGTACAGCAGAATTTTGACTGAGGACAAAATTAAATAATTCTGATCTTCACTGTAATATTATACTAACTTCACTGTAATAGGTTGTCATAATGACTGTTTCTGCAAGAATCAAAAACCTATTTTTTTCTACCTCTGATATGTCTTGAAATCAGTCTGTGTCTACTCAAAGCTTGGGTTTCCTTCAATTTTGTTTCTCTGTTAAATGAAGAGTTGAAACTTCTACCTATTCTCTTATTTTAAACAGAAAATCCTATTCATTAGTCACATAAAAAGAAAACAAATGGAAGGGAAGAGGTAGTCTTGAATTCTCTAGCATAATGAGACAATTAAAAGGAAAACAAAATTCTTTGCCATAAGATACTTTTGATAAAAATGTTTCTTGAAATCATTTCCCATTGTATGATAGAAACCACATTGCTGTAATCCACAAGGCAAATGAAGGGCTTTTCAGGGGAAGGCAGTCATTGTGAAATTTCCATAATAGAACTTGGCTGTAGCAGGCATGACATTTGAAAGAGCACTGGGGGTCCAAGAAGAGGAGGTAGTCACCTGAGTTGTTCATTTTTCATGATAAGCCCACCTGGACCCCCATGTGTAGCATTATCTGCCAGACCATAGAAAATAGTATTTTAATTACTTCTCTCTGTATAATCTAGTCAGTTACAAGAAAAACAAAGCTGACCATTATTTTTTGTTACTGAAACTTTTGAAAATTGTGTATGAAAAGTTCCTAAGCTTTCTCTCTGATCCAAGTTCTTTCTTATCAATTTCTTTAATAAGGAGAATTTAATGAAAGGCTTTAATATATTCTAATAATTTGGATATCATTGCAAAAGCAGGGCAAATGTGGAAAACTATATTTTCAACTGTTCAGGGATAATAATGAATTAGTAAATATTCTTATTAGGAAAAGGAAGAAACACCCAGTTGCCCACTTCAGAATGTTTGCTGTTGCTGTTCCCTCTTCCTGAGTGTTCTTAACTCTTTCTCATAGCTGGTGTTTAGTCATCATCTAAGTCTTGGCTCAAATGTCACCTCCTCAGAGAGGTGTTCCTGACCCTCAGTTGAATCCCTCCCCACAACTCAGCTGCAAGTCACTATATAACATTCCTTGGTTTTAACTTCTTAGTGCTTACCATGACCTGAAGTCACTTATTTATGTACTACTTTCCTGGTTTATCTATCTCCCCAACTAGATTATGAACTCCAAAGAATGGGAACCCTGTTGGTCTTTTTCATTGGGTGCTAAGATTAGTGCCCAGGTAGATGCAGAAGGAAAATGAGATGGCAAAATTCTCATCCTTATGCAAACACAAGAATTAAAAAAGTAGACCTTTTTGAACAGCTGGAGGAGGGTAAAACATTCAAAGTTCCAGTACAGTAGAAACACTGCTGCAGTATTCTGCCATCGGGTATTAGATTTGCAATTGTTCACCCAAAGTGTGTGCTTGCTATAAGCTGTTTGTCAGTATCACAACTTTGGGACCCCTGAGGTAGATAGTACTTAAGGGGCTCTTTTCCGGATCCAGAGTCCTGGCATCAAACAGGACATTTCTGCCACACCAGTTGCATCAGGATGTTTTGACTTTAAGATATTAAAATCCTGACTTCAACTGGATCTAAGCATACTTTTTTTAAAACTATTTTATTGATTATGCTATTATAGTTGTCCCATTTTTCTCTTCCCTTTATTCCCCTCTGCCCTGCACCTCCCCTTCCCACCATCATTCCCCTACCTTAGTTCATGCCCATGGGTCATACATGTAAGGTTTTTGGCTTCTCCATTCCCTATATTATTCTTAACCTTCCCCTGTCTATTTTGTACCTACCATTTATGGTTCTTATTCCCTGTACCTTTTCTCCCACCCTCTCCATCCCCCTCCCCACTGACAACCCTCCACATGGTCTCCATTTCTGTTATTCTGTTCCTATTCTAATTGTTTGCTTAGTTTGTTTTTGTTTTTCTTGTTTTAGGTTTGGTTGTTGGTAGTTGTGACTTTGTTGTCATTTTACTGTTCATATTTTTTATCTTATTTTTCTTGATAAGCTCCTTTAACATTTTATATAATAAGGGCTTGGTGATGATGAACTCCTTTAACTTGACCTTATCTGAGAAGCACTTTATCTACTCTTCCATTCTAAATAAGAGCTTTGCTGGATAGAGTAATCTTGGATGTAGGTCCTTGTCTTTCATGACTTTGAATACTTCTTTCTAGCCGTTTCTTGCTTCCAAGGTTTCTTTTGAGAAATCATCTGATAGTCTTGTGGGAACTCTTTTGTAGGTAACTGTCTCCTTTTCTCTTGTTGCTTTTAAGATTCTCTCCTTATCTTTAATTTTGGGTAATGTAATTATGATGTATCTTTGTGTGTGCTTCCTTGGGTCCAACTTCTTTGGGACTCTCTGAGCTTCCTGGACTTCCTGGAATTCTATTTCCTTTGCTGTATTAGGGAAGTTCTCCTTCATTATTTTTTTCAAAAAAGCATAAGTTTTATGGAAATATTAGATCTGGGTTGGTTGTTTCAGGAGCTCAAAATGCCATCAAGGACTCACTGTCTTCACTTCTGCTCTGCCATCATTCAATATCATCCCATCCAGGTATGGCAGTGTTTGAGGAAGAAGAGAGAATGCTTCCTTTTCTTTCCTAGACTTGCCACAGCAGACTACCTCCAGAGTCTCATGGGCCATTTGGGGTACATACCCATTGTTGAACTAACCACTGGTGAGGGAGTGAGATTATGTAGATGAGTCTTATCCCTGAGTTGGGGGTTATCCCTTTCCCATGAGGTGTGTGGCTTGTTTGAAGGAGTAGCAGGGATCTGAACAAAACTGAGGTTCTTTGGGGAGTGGAAAATGTGGGAAGTGTGGTATACTTCTTCCGTTGTTCTTTTGTTTGGAAGCAGTAGATAATGGTGTTGCTAAAACTTTCCCTCCTAAGTTTTGTACTGTTTTATCTGGTGGGTAAGTAAGTACTGGTTCAAGATTCTAGAAGTTGACCTTGTGCCCTGTTGGTGGGATTGCAAATTGGTGTGGCCACCATGGAAAACAGTATGGAGGTTCTTCAAAACGTTAAAAATAGAACTATCTTACTGAGCCAGCAATTCTACTTCTGGGTACTTATACAAAGAAATCCAAATCATTAATTCAGAAAGGTATGTGGACCCCTATGTTCATTGCAGCATTAGTTACAATAGCCAACTATGGAAGCAACTTAAGTGCCCATCAATAAATGACTAAATAAAGAAAAGATAGTACATACTACAATGGAATATTACTTGGCCATAAAAAGAATTAAATCTTATCATTTGTGGCAACATGGGTGGGCATAGAGGGTATTATGCTCAGTGAAATAAGTTAGAGACAAATACTGTATGATTGCACTTATTTGTGAGATCTAAAGAACAAACAAAATTGAAACAGAAGCATAGATATAAAGACCAAACTGATGGTTGCCAGATAAAATGGGGGGGGGGGCTGGGTGAAAAAGGTGAAAGGATTAAGAAGTACAAATTGCTAGTTAAAAAACAGTCACAGGGATGTAAAGTACAGCATAAGGAATATAGTCAATAATATTGTAATGACTATGTATGGTGCCAGGTGGGTACTTCAAATATTGGAGGGATCACTTTGTAAATTATATAGATGTCTGATGACTATGCTGCACACCTGAAACTAACATAAAATAACATTGAATGTCAATTGTAATTGAAAAAAATGGTTCTAGAGTTTGATGCAGATTGGATATCCTATAGTTACTATCATTTGTATTAAGTCCAAGCCTCTGCTCAAGGGCTTGAGGAGAAGCACCTATCTCAGTGTACAGATGCTGCTGCTGACCAAGAGGGGACCAAGGTCACCTTCATGACCTGTGGTGGAAATGACGAAGAGCAGGATGCTTGGGCCCCCTTTTTTAGCTGTTTTAATCCCATACCTTGTCCTTAGAGAAGTACAGTCTGTTCTGGAGAACCCATCTTATTTCCACGTGTCTTTATTACTTTATTTTAGCTTGCTTTCCCAAAGCCTAAAAAAAGTTTGGGGATAGTTTGGGAATCTAGAGAGGAAGAGAGTGAATTGTCAGAGTGCAGGGAATGGGGCAATGATTCTCCGTTCCCCTACACTACATGCTGTTTATTCTGATCAAAGTAACTTTTGCCTTTTATATAATTCTCCTGCAGCTTTTCATGTCCCACAACAAGGTGAGATTAAGAATAGAATAGATAAGATAACATGAATAATGAAACAATCAAAACCTCACAGCCTCTACATTATTATTAATTAATATATAAATGTGGTGGAAATGCAAGGGGCATGTCAAGCCACGAAATGTCATGTAGTTGTGGGACTTTGGTGTCTGATGATGTATTCTGAATGCTTTTTCACATCTTAAACATTTTGTGGTAGATTTTAAAAATGAGGAGTGCATCCTTGCTTTTTGTTATTTGTTATTTGTACCTTGATAGTCTTACATGAACAAACTGCCAACGTGGAGTTCTTCTCTCTCCTCATTCCATATCTGATTACAGACCTAATTCTGCCCATTTTCCTTATGATGACCACTAACTCAGTCTTGGCACTTGCCTCATCATGTTACAGACACAGCCTTTTGTTTTTGAATTATCACCCAATTACTTTGCAAGTGCCTCATGGGTAAGAATTCTTTTATCTATCTTTGATGTCTCCAGATATACTAGACCATATAGAATGGGTAGGAAAATCAATGTTTGTTGATTTCTTGTTGATATTTTCTGTTTCGCTTTTGGTTCTAGATTCTGGGCTGAAGGGATTTTGTTCCAGGAATATACTGATCATCCTTGGCTTCTCCTTTATCATGGCTGTCATAGCTCTGATTGCTGTGGGGCTGACCCAGAACAAAGCATTGCCAGAAAATGTTAAGGTAACTCAAATCTGTGTGTGTGTGTGTGTGTGTGTGTGTGTGTGTGTGTGTTTATGAGGAGGCATGAGCAGAGGGAAAAGGGAGGTTATGGTAAATCAGAGTACAGGAGGAGTTGAGGTTCTGGAAGCCCAGGAGCAAGTCACTATCTATTAGATTAAGGAAGTAAAATGGAAACGGATGCTCATCTGAAAGAGGGGATGCCTTGAATCAATTAACAATGGGAAGATAGCTGTCTTTACGATTATTCAGCAAATTAATTAAATACATAACAGAAACAAAGGCTTTATTCACCACGTCTGTATTTGTGTTATACTGTGCTGATATTCTACTATCTGGTGCTATCTCTATCTACTTCTTACTCTTTGTTTCACTGTGGATGTGTCACAACACTGTACTCTTTGTTCTTCTCACTCCATCATTATTACTATCACCAAAATAATTGGAAAGCTCTGAATGAAGCACTTTGGGAGTCAAAGATCGTGGGGAAGACTTGTTTCTCATCTCCAAAATATCAAAGAGCACAGCAAAATCAATTAAAAAAAAACACAGAGAAACAAGTATCAGCTATAGTAATTTGAAATAAATTCATGAGTGGACAGATTTCTTGTGAAATTTCCACATTTGAAGAGCCAGTTAATATTACTAAAAATAATTAGGGTCATTAACTCTGCTGTGATTTATTTCTCCTTCCTTTCAAACTCATGAAGGTAAAATTTCAAAGACATGCATATCTCACAAGACCTTGTAATATGGTCAGTATTTTATTTAATCCATTAACTAGAAAGCATGTGGTAAATTTAAATTTATATTGTAAATATATAATTTTAACCTTTCATTGAAATTACAGTAAATAAATCTACAAGGATATATCCAGAATATACTGATATGTTATTGAGCACATATGTACATGTGGATGGTGATGTAGTCAGAAGTTAACTTGACTGTGGAGGCCCTGGAATACATGTGCGGATGTATATTTTCTTGTATTTGAAGATAGTAAACTGTGAACCTGGAAATATAGATGCATATTCCAGGCTGCTGAAACTTTTACCACCCACCCAAATCACTTGCTCTATAGCAGAAGCCTGGATGTTACACTGGCATCTGTTTGCCATACAAATTCAAGTCAACTGGGACTGTGCACAGCAGCTCCTTTGTCAGCATGGAAGGCTGACACCATCTCATTGGCAATGGCCTTTTGCCTTCTAATGTTGAGTGATGTCGGCTCTCTTGGCAAAACTTCACTCACAGTTGAAGCCTCATGACATCTCAGTTCTGTTATTTGTTTACCAGTTCCAAAAGTACATGATTGCTTTCTTGATTTGACCTTTTTACATGTTTATTATTGCATCATTGGAGGGGGGACTGCCTAGGAGGCAAAATCCATGACAGACTTGAGCTCTGTGTTTCTAATTAATACTTGTCATGAATGACCATCTTTCATTCTCAGTGGTCATCTTAAAGTCTCTTGTGATTAATACAGTTGTGCTGGCCTGGCAAAATGGAACAGGGTCTTTGGCATTTTTTAAATAAAAGGTATGAGTATTGAAGAGCAGATGCTGGCATCTGAAGTGAATCTTTATAGTAATGTCACTGGTTTATTTTACTCAAAGATCATTTTATATATGCAAACTAGCCACCAGGATCATTTTAATAAGACCCTGGCATATATTGAGGACAAAAATATTTTAGGAAGTTGTCTTCGATGATGGCTTTAAGGAATGTATGCTGTCTAATTTGATAGTCATTAGCCTCATGCAGCTCATTCAATTGAATGTTCTTCACTGGCACTAGCCACATTTCAAGTGCTCAATAGCCTCATGTGGCTAGTGGCTACTAAATTGGAAAGTGCAGACATAGAACGTTTCCATTGCTGCACAAAGTTCTATTGCACATTGCTGCTGTAGAAATTATTCTATGATGGTATCTCTGAAATCATTCAAAACTAAGTTTGATGAAGAGGTTACATGGTAAAACATGTTTAAAATCTAAAACTAGGACTTAAAATCTAAAACTTAAAATCTAAAACTAAATAAATGAGACTTTTTCCTTCCATGGTTTGTAAATTAATACCAAATATCATGAGCCACTAAATTATTTTGAGTAGTTTGTTGGAATAAATGTATTTCCTTCCAAAAAATATGATTTAAAGATAATATATTTAGATATTTGTACCTGGTACATTTGTTTTAAAACACATCATTTCTTTATGACCATATCTCATTCATCATCTCTTTATTTATTTGTTCATAAATTTATATATCAATAATTATTACTTAAGTGTTTAAGTATCTATGTCAGGCACTGGGCTACACAATTGGGAAGCCAGAATAGCTATAACTGAGCTTATCATCTGGGGAAGGGAAAACATTTAATAGATGACACAAACTATTAATTATGATTGTGATGAGTGCCACCAAATGTGAGTTTTGGGGGCCAGGGAAGTTTTCCCTGGGAAAAAAATGACATTAACAATAATATCTGAAGGGTTATTAGGAGGTAGCTGGGAAAGAGATGGGTAAAGTATTCTAGGCAGAAGAAAAGCAAGTGCAAGAATCTCACAGCAGGAGATAGTTGGATACCTACCAGAAACTGGTTGGACAGCAAGAGTAGATCATATATTGGATAAAAATGATGAGAGAGGTGGTGTGGGCAGGGCCTTGCAAGTCAGGTTGAGGATTTTAGTTTTAATCCTAAACCAATGGGAAATCAATGGCATGAGCAGATTTGTGTTTTGAAAAGATCAGTATGGCTGCAAAGAATTAGTGGCAGGAAGGATAAGAGCAGATTTAGGAGATTAGGTTAGAGGCTATTACAGAAGTTTGGAAGGAGGAGAAGGTTTTGAGTTCAATTTCTGAAGAAATGTTTTGTGGGTATTGAATATGAAATGGGAAGTGTCAAAGAAGCAGTTGGATATTGAGATCTGGGCCTCAGAGAAGAGAACTGGACTACCGAATAGAAATGTCACAAGTCACATTTCAATTTTTCTAGTAGCCACATTTTTAAAAAGTGGAAGAAGTTAGTTCAGTCTGTTCATTAGATTCCATATATGAGTGAAATCATGTGGTATTTGTCTTTCTCTGACTGGCTTATTTCATTTAGCATAATGTTCTCCAGGCCATCTATACTGTTACAAAGGGTACAGTTTTCTTCTTTTTCACAACTGAGCAGTATTCCATTGTGTAAATGTCTTATAGTTGTTTTATCCACACATCTAGTATGGACACTTGGCTGCTTCCATATCTTGGTGATTTTAAATAACACTGCAATGAACATAGGGGTGGTTATGTTCTTTCGAATTAGTGTTTGGGTTCCTTCGGATATATTCCCATAAGTGGAATAGCTGGGTTGAAAGGCAGCTCCATTTTCAGAACTAACAAGGAAAATGGGGACAGACTCATAGATGGGGAACAGAATGACAGCTGGTGCAGGGGAAGGTTAGGGAGTGGAGGGATTGAGCAAAAAGGAAAAAGGACTCATGGACATGGACAACACTATGGTGATTGCTGAAGGGAGGGGGTATAACAGGACTGAACAGTAATGGAAAAAATATACAATGAAAACTAAATTTTAAAAAGTAGAAGATGTATATTAATTTTAGTAACATATTTTATGTAACCTGATATATCCAAAATACAGGAGTGGGCAAAAGTAGGTAAGAACTGTGCCAAAGTGTGCTTGAATATAGCAAGTAGACTACAAGATGTGTAAATAGTGAGGGCTGGCAATTTGAGCACTGAAGAGATTGTACCTAAGTGCACTGTGCCATTGTGCCATTCTTTTGAGTTAATAAAGCTACTGTAATAATCATAACCTGCATGTCTTTTTCCACATGAACAACTGTAAACCTACTTTGCCCACCCTGTATTATTATTTCAACATTTCATCACAATAGTTATTAATGAGATATTTTACATTCTTTTTTCTTTTTTTAAGATTTTATTTATTTATTTTTAGAGAGGGAAGGGAGGGAGATAGAGAGAGAGAGAAACATCAATGTGCGGTTGCTGGGGGTCATGGCCTGCAACCTAGGCATGTACCCTGACTGGGAATCGAACCTGCGACACTTTGGTTTGCAGCCCACGCTCAATCCACTGAGCTACGCCAGCCAGGGCTTTTTTCTTTTTTTTTTAATTGTTGTTCAAGTACAGTTGTCTCCATTTTTACCCTACCATGCTCCTCCACCCCACCTATCCCTGCCTCCCACCCTCAAACCTACCCACTTTGGCTTTGTCCATTTGTCCTTTATATATGTTTATTGATGGCCCTCCCCCTATTATCCCTCTCCCCACTCCTCTCTGGTAACTGTCAGTCTGTTCTTTATTTCATTATCTCTGGTTGTATTTTGCTTGTTTGTTTGTTTGGTTGATTAAGTTCCACTTATAGGTGAGACCATATGGTATTTGTCCCTCACTGCCTGGCTTATTTCACTTAGCATAATGCTTTCCATTTCCATTCATGCTGTTTCGAAGGATAGAAGCTCCTCCTTTCTTTTACATTCTTTTTTTCAGACTCTTAAATTCCAGTGTGATTTTCTACTTACAGCACATCTAAATGTGACATCTTAGTCACATTTCCAGTGCTCAATAGCCACATGTGGCTAGTGGCTACCTTATTTGATAGCATAGGGCTAGACTAAATATCTAGAGATCTAAATATATCTCTAATGTCATTGATGTGTTGTAGCCTTAAGAATGGTTAAGATCATAGGAAGGGAGTAAAAAGTGAGAAAAGAAGAGGGTAAGGACCAAATTCTGAGGAATTCTATAATTTAGAGGGCGAGTAGTAAAGGAATTTCTCCTAAACCAGAGTGATAACATTGCTTTATATGGTGCTTAGTAGTTTATGAATTATTTCCACACTCTCAGTTCAATTTTTCCTTCCCAGCAATGTTGTGAAAAATAAAAGATTATCCTCATTTTATACATAACAAAACGAGAGTCTTGAAAGTTTTTAAAGGTGGAGATGGGCCTAAGTTTTCTGATCCAGAGATTGAAGTT